GAATCACAGCACTTGAGCTATGGATTTCATGACTTGATGTTTATGAACTAACTTTTTTCTCCTTCAGTTTGTTATAGGAGTTGAATGCTTTTGGTCAGAGAAGTCTCTTCTATTGAGTTTGGAGGTATTTTTAAGAACTTCTATTTAACTCCTTAAAGTGGATAGTTAATGCTCCGAGATGGGGTCTCTCTTCCCCAGCAGGTGTGAAGGGAAGATGACTCTGTTCCTTTCTTCTTTTGTGCATGTGTGCACTCAGACACCTTTCGTTCAGATGGGGGGGCCAGGTTTATCTGTATTTCATTTTCCATCCCCCTGTGCAGAGATGGAGGTCTGTATTCAGTGCGTCCTTCTCACTAGATGAGATATTTATTTGTTCCTTCCTGTAATTAGGTGAGAATGAAGGTTGTGCTAAGAGATGATGTTTCGAGTATCCAGGAGGACTGGTGTGGAATGCAGTGGTTGGTTGTCGGTGGGTGAGTGGACAAGGCAAGTTAATATCCCAGCTATCATGTTCTTGATTTCTGGTCTTGTAAGGAACTAGTCTCCGGATTAGTTCTTGAACCAAATCTCCTGGAGCAGCGAGGAAGGAAGCCCCAACTGTTCGTTCCTGAACCTACGCCTGGAACCCGTAGTTTTCTTTGAACTCGGGAAGCTGTCAGGGCTGCATTCAAGCCTCTCTCAGACATACTTGCTATATTTTTTCTAACAGAATGGGAAAATGTTTAAATGGTGAAAGTGGGATAATTTCTGCCTCCTCTTGTGGAGGGGACATGGAGTTGTGTTCAAAGATGTGGTCTTATTAGGATGTTGAAGGTTGAGAGCCTATTCATTCCTGATTCCTCCTGCATGGTATCCACTGAGTCATTTCTCTCTACTCTGGAGGACTGAGGGGGAGATTTTTTTGCAGGGTGGTTTGGGTTTTTTTGGTTGTCTAACTGTTTCAATTACTGTAGCCACCAAGCTCTGATCTAATTGTCCTGGAAGGATATTGGTCTAGGGATTGCAGTTCTTGAGCCCAACCTCCTGGAAAAGTGAGGTATAAAACTCTGGCTCCAGCTGCTTGTTTCTGTATTTATTGACAATGTCAGCTATTTTCTGTTTTCGGCGGACATGTGGAGGGTTGTATGAATCACTTTCCAGCCTCTTTCTCCGACAAATATTTATTATTGTTTGTCTCACTAAGAAACCTGAAAGAGAAAAAAGTGGTGCTAAGTTTAAATAAAATCAATCCCACTTCTCCTCCTCTGCTTTCCCAGCTAGAGGACGGACATTTCAATCTGGGCTCCGTCCCAGCTAGAGACCAATGGCAACTGTTGTCAGTGCTCTGGGTAAGTGACCCTTGTTAAAAGGTAGCTATTGAGGAATCACAACTTTCCACCACCGAGAGGCCTCTTTGTTATTAAGCGTTATTTTAAAAGCAAATTTTCAATGTAATGCTTTAGAGATTGCCTGTTGGGCTCCATGTTTGGCTGAAGCAGGGCCTGCATGAAGGACCACATCTGCTATTCCTTGACTGGCCAGCAAGAGAGAGTAGTTCGTAAACTAAGTCTTAGCCACCCCTAGTGATGGAACATACTGCCTGTCCGGCTCTCCCAGTCCCAAGGGGCTGAACGCACCACCTCTACAGCATGTCGGCCCACCTGGGAGTCATGGGGAGCTGCAATCCTGCCCAGCTCTTTCGCATGGCAGTGCAGAGAATGAAAGTACTAGAGTGTGTAAAACTTAAGTTTAACATTTACTGGGATGCTAGGGAGAGAGGATTTTTTTTAATATCTGAAGCTCAATAGCTTTCTCCTGTATCTTGGAGCTGGACTAGAAGGGATGAACACACTGCGACAAAATACTCAGCAAGGGAGTATTTAACATGTATCCTTTGGTAGCCGACTACATTTTTGTCTCAGGGGATGTTTACAAAGCCCACAGCAACAAGCCTCCCAGCCCAGGGTCAAGAGACTCGGGCTAGCGGGGCTTATGTTAGCATTCTAAAAATACCTGTGCAGGTATTTTTATGTGTTGAAGTTGCGGCTTGGGCTGGAGCTTGGGCTCTGGGGTCCAGAGAGGCATTTGGTTTCGCAGTGTGAGCCACAACTTCAATGCACTGTCTACACAGCTATTTTTAGAGTGCAAAAGGGAGCCTTGTTACCCACGTCTCTTGACCTGGGCTAAGCGGCTCACTGCTGCAGGCTGTGAAGACATATTCTTAGATCTCAGTGAGTCACCAACATTACAGCCACTTAAATCTTTTCCCCACAAGTTTATCCACTTGTCTTTCTCCCGCCCCCTTTCCCGCCTCTCTCTCTATTCGGTGTTTGCGCCCCTTGCCTCGGCCACACCACTGTTAGTGCAAACAACAAAGTGAAAGTGACAAAAATGTTTCCAAACCAGGAAGCATGGATAAAGTGCTTGTCAATTTAAATGTACTGTTCCCTCTGCAGAAGGATTGCAGGCAGACTGCCTCCACTCACTGTGAGCCAGGAGGAAAACTCAGCAGCTATTCCTGAGTCAAAAGTATCTCATACCAGTTGGGAAGGATCCAATTCATATTTTAATACAGACTAATCATTGAACAGTCAGGTAGCAAAGGCTCTGCTAGGTCCCATATATACCCTTTCACAAAACTAGAACCTACCAAGAGCTCGCCTACTAACTATCATTCCATCCACCAGGGGGATGACCATGTTGAATTTCCCAGTAGCGCCTTGCACTTTTATCCTGAATAACCCAGTGTTTAAGGGATGGATGAAAACTACAGGAACTTCTCTTTCAGGAGTGGTTGATCTAAAGAAAAACAAACAAACCACTTGTTAAATTAGTAACAGAGAAAGTATTTTGAGAGAACATTTAGGGGAAGGGGAATGGAGACAATGTGCTTAGCAAGAACGGACAGTCAAAAATGGTTTGTAAATAAAAAAACAGTTACTCACCTTTGTAACTGTTGTTCTTTGAGATGTGTTGCTCATATCCATTCCAATTAGGTGTGTGCGCGCCGCGTGCATGATCATCGGAGAATTTTTACCCTAGCAACACCCGGTGGGTCAGCTGTGGAGCCCCCTGGAGTGGCACCTTCATGGCGCTGGATATATACACCAGCCGACCCGGCGTCCCCTCAGTTCCTTCTTGCCGGCTACTCCGACAGTGGGGAAGGAGGGCGGGTTTGGAATGGATATGAGCATCACATCTCGAAGAACAGTTACAAAGGTGAGTAACCATTTTTTCTTCTTCGAGTGCTTGCTCATATCGATTCCAAAATTAAGTGACTACCAAGCCTTACCTAGGCGGTGGGGTCGGAGTGAGACATCGCTGAGTGTAGAACGGCTGAGCCAAATGCAGCATCATCTCTAGACTGCTGTACTAACGCGTAGTGAGCGGCAAAGGTATGAACGGATGACCAAACCGCCACTCTACAGATCTCATGGATTGGAACCTGGGCCAGGAAAGCGGTTGAGGAGGCTTGAGCCCTCGTGGAGTGGGCGGAGAGGCGTGGTGTTGCGACACCAGCCAAGTCGTAGCAAGCATGAATACAGGACGTGATCCCAGAGGAGATACGTTGCGAAGAGACCGGAAGGCCTTTCATCCGGTCAGCCACTGCAACGAAGAGTTGAGTCGTCTTCCTAAACAGCTTCATATGCTCGATATAGAACGCGAGGGCCCTGCGCACGTCCAGAGAGTGCATACGTTGATCTTACCGCGTAGTGTGCGGCTTAGGATGGAAGACCAGGAGGAAGATATCCTGGTTCACATGAAAAGCTGATACCACCTTGGGGAAAAAGGCAGGGTGGAGGCAAAGCTGCACCTTGTCTTTCTGGAAGACTGTATACGGAGGTTCCAACGTGAGAGCTCTGATTTCAGAAACACACCTTGCTGAAGTGATGGCTACAAGGAAGGCTGTCTTCCAAGATAGGTAAAGGAGTGGGCAGGTAGCCATTGGCTCAAACGGGGGCCCCGTGAGCCTGGAGAGAACCAGGTTAAGGTTCCACGCCAGAACCGGTTGACGCAGCTGTGGGTATAGGCGGTCTAAGCCCCTTAGGAATCTGATGACCATTGGGTTAGGGAAGACCGAGGAAGCATGTTCTCCTGGATGGCACGCCAAGATAGCTGCCAGATGCACCCTGACTGATGATATCGCCAGGCCCTGCTGTTTTAGGGATAGGAGATAGTCCAGTATAAGTGGTATCGACGCCTGCAAGGGAGGCATGGCGCGTTGCTCGCACCAACAGGAGAAGCGCTTCCATTTGGCTAAGTAGGTGGCCTGTGTGGAGGGTTTCCTGCTGCCTAACAGAACCTGCTGCACGGATTGTGAGCAGAGTAACTCCGCCCGAGTTAGCCATGCAGCATCCACGCGGTAAGGTGGAGCAATTGCAGGTCGGGGTGACAGAGTCGTCCGTGGTCCTGGGAGATCAGGTCCGTCCACAGCGAGAGCGTGATCGGAGGTTCTACCGACAACTCCAGGAGTGTGGCGTACCAGTGCTGCCTTAGCCATGCTGGAGCGACCAGAATCATGCGTGCCTTGTCCCTGCGCAGCTTGAGCAGGACCCCGTGGACCAGCGGGAATGGAGGGAAGGCGTAGAACAGCTGGTCTCTCCATGGCAGTAGGAAAGTGTCTGACAGGGAGCCCTGAGAGCGCCCTTGGAGAGAACAGAACACTTGGCACTTCCGATTGATGCGTGAGGCGAATAGGTCGATCTGGGGAAATCCCCACCTCTGGAAGATGGAGTGGATGATATCTGGGCGAATCGACCACTCGTGAGTCTGGAAGGACCTGCTGAGGTGATCTGCCAGCGTGCTCTGGACTCCTGGGAGAAATGACGCCATCAGATGTATTGAGTGGCCTATGCAAAACTCACACAGGCGAATGGCCTTCTGGCATGGGGGGACGACTGGGCTCCCCCTTGCTTGTTGATGTAGAACATGGCCGTGGTGTTATCTGTGAGGACTGCCACACAAGGGCCATGTAGGAGACCGCGAAACGCCTGACACGCTAGGCGTACTGCCATCAGTTCTCATACATTGATGTGCAGAGTTAGTTCGGATGCAGTCCAAAGGCCCTGCGTCTGGTCTTCCCCGAGGTGGGCGCCCCAGCCCAGAGATGATGCGTCTGTGACAAAGTATAAGGAAGGTTGTGGGGTGTGAAATGGTTCCCTTCGCACACCGATGTGTGGTTCAGCCACCAGCTGAGGGAGGTCAAGACCGATTCCGGAACCGTGACCACCATGTTCAGGCTGTCCTGACCTGGACGATACACCGTTGATACCCAGGCCTGAAGCGGGCGGAGCCGAAGTCTGGCATGCCTGGTTATGTAAGTGCACGACACCATGTGCCCCAAAAGGTCGAGGCACGTTCCTATCGTGGATGTCGGGAAGCTTTGGAGGCTGCGGATGATGTTTGCAATAGCCTGAAAACGAGTGCCTGGCAGGAGAGCGCAGGCGAGTCTGGAGTCTAAGACTGCCCCGATAAACTCTATTCTCTGGGTTGGTTCCAGAGTTGACTTCTCTCTGTTGAGTAAGATGCCCAGCTTGCGGAAC